ACCCAGGGTAGGGGTCGACCATTTTGATGTTCAGCCTAAGGTAGGATTTGAACTCGGGTCTACCGATCATGAGTCTGATGCGACAACCACTATGCTACCGAATACCGAATAGATTTTAGTTGATAGACACCCATTTTGCAAGTATGTCCTCTCATGCATAGGAATGAAAATATTTTTTTTCATGCATAGAATATGGCCGACGATTTATTAGACAAACAACTTCACGTCTAAATGAAAACAGTAAGTTTCACTTTTGTGGAACATTATTCACTTATTGGTTTCGCCACGGTTACTAGGTTATAGGTTCTAATAACCATGGTTTCACAGGGTATTGTACTCCCCGACAGAATGTTAATTTTTCAAACGTTTGGTGTAACTATGGTATTTTTCGAGAACACGATCTTAGCGACAATGGATGTCGGCCATGTTGTCAGCAATACCCCCATATTGTTGGGATTGGGTGAAAACTTGGTATATCGTCACATACGGGTACTTTATTTATTTTGAATTACTATTATTTCAAATATCTTGGTTTAAAGCCATCGAAATGCTATATTGCTTTAGCATTGTGTTCTATGGAACCGCTATACACAGCCATATTGCTTACTAATTCCAAGTACCTATAGCTCCATGAGTGTACATAATAACTCAATCATGATGAATATTGCTATGTGTTTTATGACTAAATTTCTCAAAACATTATGTGTATACTTCTATATATTGAGACAGATATGCACTGTACATGTACCGACAACACCCCAACACTTTTCTATCAATTAACTTTTCGTAGTGTTTACGGATTTTTTTTATTATCCGTTGTCCAATTCTGCTCCAAAACACAACAATAGTCGCCCGATTGTGCATGTGTGTTTAACCATCAAAATCTCAGTATAAATACTGCCATTTTTATATAAAGCAATTACGGGTTGTAAACCACTACCGCGAAGGCGTAATACACCCAAAGTGAAATCATGTGGACTAGCAGATATGCATGTCTGCAAACGAACATAAATGAAATTAAATCACGCAATGAAGACGATATCATACACCATTCTGTCAAATTGTAACATAACAAACAATCACATTTCAAGACACTGCAAATGAACGCTATAGATCTATATTAAGATATGAACAGAGCCAAATTTTATTTGGCTGAAACAACGATCGTGGTCGCGGTGATTGCGGTATGTTTTCAATGTTTCCATGGTTCACGAACAACTCAATGTCCAACAAAATCGATTAAGATGACACTGATTTGGAATGTCAAGTGGTCTTGTCCTGACCTTGTACTAATTCATGTTTCGTATATTGATTTATAATTCATCAGCCGAGTGTATTTTTCCTTAATGAGTAAGCAACAGCGGCACCGTCTATCTATGTGACCTAAGTTTCATATACTTAGAGGCCAAATACAAGAACGTCACTATAAACTGTGGCATATGCCACAATAGAATGTTGAAGCGTATAACACTGTATTATGTTTACCCAGGCAGCCTTCACGCTTTGTAAAGTGTTACTGAGAAACAAGACAAGATTCCACGGTTGATATGTACATTATTATACGGGCATCACGCTTATATTAGTCTCAACACACTGATATATTGTATACTTGTATTTTGTTTATATTTACTTATATTATACACTATGTTTCCCGAAATGCATTTCGTTGCAAGTTACCAAATGACGTTTGATTGGCAATGTAAATATCGCTATCGTGGTTTCGATTTGAACGGTGTTGCCTCGATGTAAACGGTGTTGTCATGGTGTTGCCTCGATGTGAACGGTGTTATCTGGATGTGAACGGTGTTGTCTGGATGTGAACGGTGTTGTGAACGGTGTTGTCTCGATGTGAACGGTGTTGCCTCGATGTAAACAGTGTTGTCATGGTGTTGCCTCGATGTGAACGGTGTTGTCTGGATGTGAGCGGTGTTGTCTGGATGTGAACGGTGTTGTCTCGATGTGAACGGTGTTTTCTTGATGTGAACGGTGTTGCCTCGATGTAAACGGTGTTGTCATGGGTGTTGCCTCGATGTGAACGGTGTTGTCTGGATGTGAACGGTGTTGCCTTGATGTGAACGGTGTTGTCTCGATGTGAACGGTGTTGTTTCGATGTGAACGGTGTTGCCATGGTGTTGTTTCGATGTGAACGGTTTTGTCTCGATGTAAACGGTGTTGTCTCGATGTGAACGGTGTTGTTTCGATGTGAACGGTGTTGTCTCGATGTGAACGGTGTTGCCTCGATGTAAACGGTGTTGTCATGGTGTTGCCTCGATGTGAACGGTTTTGTCTCGATGTAAACGGTGTTGTCTCGATGTGAACGGTGTTGTCTCGATGTGAACGGTGTTGTCTCGATGTGAACGGTGTTGTCTCGATGTGAACGGTGTTGCCTCGATGTGAACGGTGTTGTATCGGTACTATTTTTCAATTTGTCTTTGTTTTTATTTCTCCAGTAAGATTATTAATTGATGTCTGTATGATTCTAACCCTGCTCCACCTTCGCATAAGCAGATATCCACCCTTTAGACAGCATATTTTCTGTTTTCATCACACACACACACACACACACACACACACACACACACACACACACACACACACACACACACACACACACACACACACACACACAC